ATGTGAGAAATGGTAACTTTAAATCTTCTTACCTGAGAATTATTGTTTATTTTAAAATATATATCAATGGAGTTGCATCTACTGGGTTACAAAAAGGGCAGGGGCGTAGTGAGGGTGAGGAGGACTCGGGCAATCTCTAAGTTGCAACCTCCCCCGCCCCCAATTTCAAGATGAATAGACATTGATTGCCGAGACATGTCCGAAGAAATGCCTTACCCGCTCTTGTCCAGCTGTCTCAGTCTCCTTTCATATTTGTGGTGTGTCAGAATGTCATTCTGCACCTCGTCTGGGACCCCCGTGGACTTGTGTCCAGGAGTAAGTGTCCCCCTCTGCTGCCTCCCCTTGCTATGCCTGCTTCTGTGTCTACCAGGCTTGAGGAAGGACATTGGGCCATACAGGGTTAATAGAAACTGCTCGGTGGTGCCCCCTTCAAGTGGCACCCGAGGCACGTGCCATACCTGCCATACCTTAGATAAACCCATTGCCTTCGAGTCAATTCCGACTCATAGTGACTCTATAGGACAGAGCAGAACTGCCCCATAGCGTTTCCAAGAAGCGGCTGGTGGATTTGAACTGCCGACCTTTTTGGTTAGCAGCCATAGCACGCCATAGCTCTTAACCGCTGTGCCACCAAGCCTCTGAAAAAGGGTCAGATTCCTTTCTGTCTTTGCAGTCTCTTTATCTGATTGCCTGTGATGCTTCACATTCTGGTTTAATGCTTATTCAAGAATTAAATGGTTTTCGTTCTCTTCTACCTTTGTGGAGCATTTTTTCTGTGTTGGGAGCAAATTTTGTTTTTTGTTATAATTTCACCAACATTATGAACTCACTCAACCCTCCCCAAATCCTGCGGAGCCATTCCCACTTTATAGATGAGGAAGTGGAGGCCCCCAGACATGGGTAATCTGCCCAGGTCACAGAACTAGCAAGAGATGGAGCTGGGCCCTGTGTGTGCAGCAATTGTGTTATGTGATGGTGCAATTATGGAGGTGGCTTTCTTTTTTTACTTAATATTAAAATATGAGTATTTTTCCTTATCATTACATTTTTCTCAAATTCCATTCTTCATTGCATAGTTATAAAACGGGAAGCGTGAAAGCTTACGTGCTGGATGCGTTGGGAAACTTCTGCATCTAACTTTCTGCTCGTGGTTGAGGTATTCTCAGAAGAGGTGATTTATCTACTTGCCTAGAAGAGCTATTCCCTCCTCCCCCCACCATCTACCAGGACAAGGTGTTTATAACTGTGAAAATGTTACAGAAGCCACCAATGGCTTCAGTCATCCTTTAGTGGAATTCTAAGTGTTCCCAGAGCACAAGAACTTGGGGAAGGCCGGTAGAGTGGGCAGCCTGGCAGAGGGCCGGCCCCTGAAAGGAGACAGAGAAGGCAGGGAGGGATGGCCCAGCCCTTGTGGACTTTCAGGTTGAGAGGCTTTGCAAAGAAGGAACAGGGCTGGGCGGGGTTGGGAAAGGCATCTATTGAAATTAGCAGTGAGGGGATCCTCAGAGCTGAGCACAGACCCTACATGGGAGTGGGTCCCACAGAAAGGAGCTCAAAGAGGATGAGCTGAGGCCTGGGACTACGGGGGTGGGGGGAGATGAGGGTTGGGGGCGTTGGGTAGTGGGGGGTACTAGGAGGGTTGGGGGTGGGGGGCGGAGGCAGAAGGAGGGCCTGGACAGAGGCACAGCAGGGAGGAAGAGCCTGCAGCAGAGAGAGGGCCAGGGGGCAGAGCGGGCAGGGGTACCTGGTTCCTGGAGTCTGTGGTGAGCTCAACATGGGCCTGTCCCTTGGCGCTGGGCACTTCGGCTCTAGTTCCCACTCACGGGGCTGCCTTTGGCCTCTGGAAACCCCTTTATCTGCGAGTGTCCTTCCAGGTCTTCAGAGCCTCAGCCCCACCCCCTTCCTGCTTCAGGCCTTGGTGGGAGGGGAGTCCTTGAGTAGTTTGCTTCCTCAAACTCAGACCTACCTTCTCTCAGGCCTTCCTGTTTGGTAGGGACTGCTCCCTGGTGGGAAGCCCCCCCACCCCCCACTACGGGCAGTTGAACCCAAAGGAATCGCAAAGGGAAAGAGAAAGTAAATGATGCCAGAGAGGGAGAGATGGGCTCTGCTGTGCCAGCTCCAGACCCAGCGGGAAGAGAACAGGGCAGAGAATGGGGCATGGGGGCAGCAAATACCCAATAAACAAGGTAAGCAAGGGCTTACTTATGTTTACTTACTAATCTGTAGTGAACAATTGCACATTTTTTCACCACATCAAAGATTCTGCTTCTAGGTATGGCTGGCATCTGTTTCTCCCAACCCCCCTGTCGCAGCCCCTCACACGGGCACCATCTGTCGCAGTGGCGACGGTTGTCGGGACGGCGAAGACAGTAACCAACTGCACAACTCTTACAGAGAAGTGGGGCCAGGAGGGTCACTCTGAGGAGTCGACCCCCAGCTTCAGTCTCAGGAGTTTATTTATAGTCAATACAGCAAGCAGTGAAGCAAATAACAGAACAATGGGCTTTGGGTGAGTAACAATAAGTTTCGGGCAAGGGAGAAGGAATTCAGGTAAACAAGCCAATCAGTAACAGGGCAATAGGTTTGGGAAAACAAGTCGTGCCTAATCTCATTCTTATCACTGACAAGTCTCCAACATGTCCTATACAGCACAGAGGCCTGTGGGGGCTGCAGTTGTCAATAGTGCAGCCATGTTTAAATGGCATATATCCCACACCCCACAAAGATGTAGTAAAACCCATGTGAAATTGTTCACTACAGATTAGTAAGTAAGCACAAGAAAGCCTGTGTTTACCTTGCTTATTGGGTAATCCACCCCTGATGGGGAGGCTGGAGCCCCCAGCACTGAGCTGTGCCCCCCAAGTCATGCTCAGCAGCTGCCTGTTGAATGAAGAGAAGTGATAGAGGTGGTGGGAAGCAAGGGCGGTGAATCTTCCCGCAGAATGGAGGGGAAGGAACTGGTGTGCTTTGAGCCCCTAATTCTGGTGAGGTCCTTTGCATAAGCCCCCTCCTTTAACCTCCCTGCTGCCTGAGGGCGATGGAGAGGGTTAATCCTCCTGGTGGTATTGATGAGGACACAGGCTCAGAGATGGCCAAGTGACTTCCTTAGGACACACAGCTGTAAATGGCGGAGCTGGAATTAGAACCCACCTCTGTCGGACTTAAAATAGGGCTTTCTCCATAATACCAGCCTGCTTCTCCCTTTTCTGACCACAAAGTCAGGGGAGAGGAAACCTAGGTCTTCAGAGGAGTTGGCTTGCTGCCCACACAGGCCTCCAAGGGTTGTGGTTTCAACTACCCATTAACCTATTACTGTCGAGTTAATCCCGACTCCTAGTGACCCTATAGAACAGAGCCAAGACTGTAATCTTTATGGAAGCAGACTGTCACATCTTTCTCCCTCAGAGCGGCTAGTGGGTTTGAACTGCCGACCTTTTGGTTAGCAGTGGAGCATTTCACCACTGTGCCAGCAGGGCTCCTTGGTTTGGACCAAAGAAATGTGAAACATACACTTGTACCTATCCCCCTTACACATGCTCACTCATACATGCATCACACCGGTACATACACGGACTTGCACAGGCACACACATGCACACTCAATGCACATGCAAAATACACACACACGCACACACACATGCTCACATGTACACACAATGCACATGCAGTATACATGCACACACACAAACACACACACAGCTTTCTGATGGCCTAAGTCCATCTAAGGATAAAACCCAGAATATTTGGAGGGATGGAAGTACAGTGTATCTTTCAAATAACATTCCTAAATATTTTGTCCCTCAACAGGATTTTGTCCCAATTGGAGAAGTCGTGATCTCTATGGAGGTTCTGATAATGGCTGAAGGCAGAACCCTATAGTGAGGTTGACATGTGGGTATTAGGATGTGTAACAGCGCTCTCATCTGGTGGAAAGCTGTCCTACCTCTACAGAAAGTGAATGAATGAAGGTTGAATTCAGATGGTGAAGTTTCTGTTGCCATTCAAAATAATGTGAAGATAATTGAAGATGACAATGTGATAATTTAGGTAAAAAAATTAGCACAGTACCTGAAATGTTAAAAGCTCTAAAGAAAGGTTAGTTATTATTATTAGTCACACTGTATTTTATTTTTATTCATTTGAGTGTACCAACCTACACAACCTGCCACATCCTCCAACATGACCTTCCCAATTGACGTTCCCATTGATAGTTCCCTGTTGATTAATAAAGTTGCTTAGTTTTTCATGCTATGTTGCTTGTTTTGTTTCTTCTATTAATTGCCCATTTTTCTACTAGCAGGTGTGGTTTTCCGTGGCACCGCAAGATTCCCCCAGCACAATTGCTGTTCTTGGAAATTTGTGGCTTATCATGAAGGCTTCTTAAGAGATGTTCAACTTCGGCCAGAGAGCCCAGCAGCAAGGAACTGTGGGTTGTATCACCAGGGGTGGGAATTGAAAGGGTTCTGGAGATACTGGGCTTAAACAGCTTTCCCATGTCACAGAAGTATACCATGGGGAAGCCCCTCTCCCCAACCTCTAGGTCTTCTCTAAAAAGTTATATGTGTGTCTGGAAGCCACAGAGAGGGAAAAACCAGAATTCATAGTGAAGTCTTTCCTGGAGAAGTAGGGACAACCAAAAGAGAACAACGGCAGCATCAGTTCAGTAACAGACACATGCCCCTTGCCACCTTCCTCCTGCCCACGCCTGTGGAGGAGGAAGATGCCTGATGAGGGAAGGAGCAAGAGTCTACAAAAACACATCCCTTCCACTGCAAGGCCTCTGGCTAAGCCTGGCTGGGATATGTGGGATATGTACTAAAGCGTTCAATTAGCCTGGACTTTTTGATACCCCAACGTGACCAGAAGTTACAAAATCTTCCCAAGATGTTCTTAAGGGACGGTGTCTTAGTTATCTAGTGCTGCTATAACAGAAATACCACAAGTGGATGGCTTTAACAGAGATTTATTCTCTTACAGTCTAGGAGGCTAAAAGTCCAAATTCAGGGTACCAGCTGCAGGGGAAGTCTTTCACACTCTGTCAGCTCTGGGGGAATGCCCTTGTCATCAGTTTTCCCCTGGTCTAGGAGCTTCTCAGCACAGGGACCTCAGGACCAAGGGACGCATGTTCCTGGCTCTTCTTGCTTGGTGGTAATGAGGTCCTCCAGTCTCTCTGCTTGCTTCTCTCTTTTATATCTCAAAAGAGATTGAGTCTAGATACAACTTAATCTTGTAGTTTGAGTCCTACCTCATTAACATAACTGCCTCTAATCCTGCTTCATTAACATCATAGAGGTAGGATTTACAACACATAAAAAAATCACATCAGATGACAAAATTGTGGACAATCACACAATACTGGGAATCATGGTTTAGCCAAGTTGACAAACATTTTGGGGGGACACAATTCAATCCATAACAGATGGAAGAAGAAGTTACAATGGAACACTACAGAAGACAGTAAGTGGAGGAAACATAAAATCTTTCCATATTTGTACCCCATTGATTTTCACTGTCTTAGTTATCAGTGTTGCTATAACAGAAATACCACAAGTGGATGGCTTTAACAAACAGAAATTTATTCTCTCCTCAGAACCTGCTATACAGCCACGATAGTCAAAACAGCCTGGTACTGGTACGACAGACACGTAGATCAATGGAACAGAATCGAGGACCCAGGTATAAATCCATCTTCCTATGGTCAGCTGATCTTTGACAAAGGACCAAAGTCCATTAACTGGGGAGAAGACAGTCTTTTAAACAAATGGTGCTGGCAAAGCTGGATGTCCATCTATAAAAAAATGAAACAGGACCCATACCTCACGCCATACACAAAACTAACTCAAAATGGATAAAAGACCTAAGTATAAAACCTAAAATGATAAAGATCATAGAAGAAAAAATAAGGACAACGCTAGGGGGCCAAATACATGGAATAAATAGAATACAAACCATAACTAACAATGCACAAACACCAGAAAGATAAATTAGGTAACTAGGATCTCCTAAAAATTAAACACTTATGATCATCAAAAGACTTCACCAAAAGAGTAAAAAGAGAACCTACAGAGTGGGAAAGATTTTTGGCTAGGACATATCCAACAAAGGTCTAATCTCTAAAATCTATAAAATACTTCAACACTTCAACAACAAAAAGACATACAATCCAATTAAAAAATGGGTAAAGGATATGAACAGACACTTCACCAAAGAAACCTTCAGGCTACTAGCAGACACATGAAAAAATGCTCGCGATCATTAGCCATTAGAAAAATGCAGATCAAAACTACTGTGAGACACCATCTCATCCTGAAATTACTGGCACTAATAAAAAACAAAACAAAACAGAAAATAACAAACGCTGAGAGGTTGCAGGGAGATTGGAACTCTTATGTACTGCCGGTGGGAATGTAAAGTGTACAACCACTATGGAAAACGATATGATGCCTCCTTAAAAAGCTAGAAATAGAAATACCATATGATCCAGCAATCCCATTCCTAGGAATATATCCTAGAGAAATAAGAGCCATCACGAGAATAGACACAGGCACACCCATGTTCACTGCATTAAAGCAGAGGTCCCCAGGCTGCGGAAAATTCCACTGCCTCAAGCAGCTTACTTGGCTTGCCCCTCAACTTTGCTTTAGAATCCTAGCTCCTTTGCTTGGCCTACCTCACATCTTTTTATTAGAATCCTAGCTCCTTTGCTTAGTCTGTTCCATGAAAATCCTGGTGATGCGTGAAGTTATATGTAAACCCGATTGTGCCTGTCTAGTATGATTAAGAATGTTGCTGATGTAACTTGTATGAACTCCCTGCTTGTAAACCCCTAAAAAATAACTTTTCCCCTCACCCTCAGGGAGCAGTCTTGGCAGCAGCCGCTCTGACTGCCTCCTTTCCTTGCGCA